AGCTGATTATGGGTCTGAGTGGTGTTCCTTCTTTGTGTAACTTGGGGAGGCCATTGAGTTTGGGGCATTAGGAAGATTTCTCTCTGGGGATGATTCTTTGCTGGATCTCTTCACTGATGGGAGAGGCTTTTATTTTGGATTTGGTGGTTTTTCCCACGTAGGTGGTGGGGTCTGTGCCAGCCATAAGGGAAGGGAATTTGTGGCTTAGTGGTTAATACAACTGCCTAACATGTAAAAACAGCCCAGGTTCAAATCCCAGTAAGGGTATGTCTAGCTGATGAAAGCTAAATAGCTTGAGATAGATCTATACTAGTCTCCCTTTATTTATTTATCAGCACAAATGCACATATATTCCTCCAGTGTGACACACAATCTTTAATGAGAAATATTTGGAAAAACAGCTTTAACCAAGCAGGAGGCTCTGAAACCCTGAAATATGCCCACCCCCCCAAGGTTGTCCAAACACTTTCATGTGTTAGTAATTTTTAATCCAACAAAGGGAAAGATAATTTTATGCATGTTTAGCTATTTCCTAGCCCTTGGAACACCATAAAAAGACAAAAACATGGCCATAATGCTTGAAAAATATTTTTCCCCATGCATTTTTCCAGCTTCTATTGATTTTGGCTCCTTGTTTGAAAGATGAATTGTTTTCAGCCTGAAGCTTTTTCCACACACTCTACTTTGCCATCTGTCATTATTCCATCACATCATAAGAGGTCTTTGCCAGAAAAAGGTTCCCTGCTTCTGCATTCATACTGGTTGAGTCAGATCTTAATTTGGCACAGCAGAAGCAAATTGGATTGAAGGATCTTTGGTGCCCTCTGAGGTTGGTTGGTGCACTGATGACGTTCCCTAGTTTCGGTAATGAAATGACTGCAACCAAACAAATAAAGATCAGTGAGCACCAAGGACTTTGATCTACACATTTTCTCCTTTATTGGATCATTTTTGGTATCTTCACATCCCAGACAAAGTTCCCATTCATACTTCTGCAGGTTTCTTCAGGAAGGACAAAAATAGTTTTATGAAATGATTCTTCATTTCACGTAATTTTGGCCTCATTGGTTTTGGCAGCTGCCAAAAAGGCCAACAGAGTTCTAGGTTGCATAAACCCAGGGATAGAATCAAGAAGTGTTACACGGACAATGCAACCAATTACTTGGTAGTTACCAAGTGATATGCCATTAACTAATTCTAACTCATTATCATGTAGGTTGATAACTACCACCTCATGGTGTATTTTTACTATGCTAATAATAAACTTTGTTTACCTCCAGGTTTTCTCTGGACACCTCTAACCGCTGCTTAAGGTAGCAGCTCACCTTCCTTGATTTCAGCAATGGCTACTTTGTGAGGTTTCTTAAGACATTGTGCTCAATCACTACGGTTAACTCTTCTAGCTCGTGCAGAAAGGTGCTAAAGAGATGTTATTTCAAGCAGGCAAAGGCGCAACGAATCATTTTGGCTGAAGTTAATTCAAAGCCTACAAAACCCTCTAATAATTATTCATAAGTTAACAGATCCTCAAACTGGAAGGGTGTCATAGCTTTGAAGTAAAAACCAGACAAATTTCTCCTCATCCTAAACCCACTTGCATGAGAAGGCTCTAAGGCTGGCAGCAAACTGGAGAGACATGATAAGTACCATGGTGACAAGTGCACCATTGGCATTGCTAAAGGAACAGCTGAGGCACAAATCCTCCTGAAGATAATGTCTACCTGCTTGCAAAACATTGATTGCAAGCCTCACAAACCAGATGTCTCCCACACCTCCATGGAGTGCTTATCCTAACTATATTGTGAGGGTTTGATCCCACCCCCCCCCCTTTTTTTTAACCTTCCCTAGATCATTACACACATACAGGAAATGCAAGAGAGTTAACCAAGAAAGTCTGTATGGATTCTCACACAAATATACATTTATTGAAAAATTAGGTCATTACTTTTCCGGAAGCTCTTTCCAAATTACTCATATAATTTGTTTTGTATAGATTCCTTTATGATATGTAAGGGAACTATTATGACTGTAAGGGAAC